ATGTTTTTATCTGATAGTGTAGACTTCTCTTGTTTGATTTGCGAAGAGTGTTGGCCAGTATAACGCTCAAAACGACATATTTTTAGCTAACATAACACGCACGCAATAGAATTCTCTCTTGTAGTTTTGGTGCTACCCAGCCAATGACGTCACAAAGTTCATTGACCTTCGATCGAGATAATTTTTCAAAAATATTTTCCAAGATGGCGGCGAAACTGGCCGAAACACAAAGTTTGCATGCGTTTTACTCGTAGACTAAAATGTTCAAGACGGAAATGATAATATTTTCATAGTTCGGTTGTCAAGTAGGATTGAAATAGCCAATAAAAATTTTCGTTGCCAATGTCCTTTAATAATAAATAATATCATAATAATAATAATTGCAGGTTTGAAATTATAATAAGTTTAATACAATAATTTAGTTTTTTAAATTTACCGTCAAAATCGTTTTCAATTTGCGAACTTGCTTGCGAACTTGGTTCCGAATTTCATAACGAATTTCGATAATTTGATGTGAAACTTTCGAATTTGATTGGCCGGTTTCCAATCAACTTGATGATCTCGTGTTTATAGTTCCCAAATTCCCAACCAACCTCGCAATTGGCGTGGCCAAAGTTTCGTGAAATCAACTGTAATTAATGAAAGGTAGTCAAAGAAAATGCATTGAGAAAGCGGATGAAACAATGCGATACATATAAAACTTGATAAACTTATTATTAATTGTTAAAGATTGTTAGAAGTTCAGTACACTGTTTCCATGTACAGTAGCTAGCCCACACCAAATTGTTTATAACTCAATAATTTATCAATAATTATACAATAATTATATTGTTTTTAATTAAACCTTATTGGCTGTCGAAATAAAAGTGATTCGATTATGGTAATCTTGGCCCCTTCAGTACAGCCCTGCCACACAGTAGGCGGACCACACCACACTAAGAGGACGATTGCATGGAGCACTCTCAAGCACGGGGTTGAACTCAGCCTTGTTTACATAACCGGGTTGAACTGACATTTTGCGATTACATGGACAATTTTACCCCGGGGTTGAAATGCTATACGTTCCCGGAAGTGAAACTCCATCACATGCTCGAGTAACTCAGGAATAATTTTAGCCCTGGGTTGAAACGATTACATGATAAAATTTTCAAGCCAAGGACAAGTCCAACCTGGGGTTGAAATTTAACTCTGCTAGCTGAAGCGGGTTGAACTCGGACCTGAATTAAAAATTTTGAAATCATGTGTTTGATTTTGATAGCATTTTGTATTACAGACGAGGCCGAGTTCAACCCCAGGGTTGAAAATGCTCCATGTAATCAGCCCCTAATTAACCCATTAAGACTTTGATGTATCCTGATTTGACTTTATTTCTGTTGAATACCAGATAATATAATATCATAATTTTTCAAGGAACAAGGATACTCAATCGTGGCTTTAATGGGTTAATTAAGACAATATACATCAACTGACAATCAAATTGATCACCAATCTTGGTATGAAAATCGAGTGACCACAAAAAATATTTACATGCAGTATATTTTCATAGTGAAAAACTTTAAAGATTTTTTGGCATTTTAAATTGCTTTTTGAGCCTTGGACCTCCTTAGTTATCTTGCATTTCTTCTACTTTCCATATTTGCATATTATCTAAATCTGCAATAAGTTTTAATTTCAATACTGGACACACCAGCCACTTCGCCAGCCACTGAACTAACGTGTGTAATTCGAAGCTTGTCGCCGACTGTTGTTTATCTGATCTTTATACGTTGAGAATGCGACACTCAGCTTTTATTTGGGAACTTCGTGGTTTATTGTAGATAAATTTTCAGTAGGTACGCTGCCAGTTATAAAATCTTTCGTTTGGGGTCTACAGAAAGATAGATATTGAATAGACATGGATAGGTAAATATGCAAATACAATGCAGTCTTTGTTTATATCTGATCACACAAGCGTATGAATAAAATGTAAATACTTACAAGTCAAAAATTATACATTCTGGCTTCAAATGACACTCACAAAGGAAAATCTTATTTGTTTCTGAAGGTCTACCGTCTTTTCTCTAGTTCTTAAAACATTTCGAACCATTCGTCGCGACTGATTTCTCTTCTTGTTCACCATCGGCTGTAATCTACTACGCAGACTACATCGGCTGCGCCAACAACAGGGATTTTAAAAATTGCAAATTCACGCGTTCTGTTGGTCGGATAGCCATACAAAGCGCAATTAGAGCCAACGATACTATTCAATATCACTTCAAAAGTTTAACCGTATCCTGACATAGTAAAACAACGGCAAAAATACGATAATCCGAACGCGGTGTATGAACAAAGCTTTCGTCTCCTCGATCATAAACTGCTCACTACGCTCGCGTTCTTCGATATTTTTATCTCCAACGTTCAAAAAAGGTTCGTATGTTTGTTCGCTTTCTGTTTCAATTTCCATCTTGATCTCAGAAGCCCTCTAGCGCTTTGAAATATGATCTTTTGTTGGCATATTATGTT